GCGAGGCCACTTAATTGAGTTCATATCTTCCCGTGAGGAGTGAAATGATGTGAAGTTTATATGAAATAATTCATATATGAACTGCGGTTGTAGATGAATGTCAGGGGTTGTTTTGCATGTTAAGACGTGGACTAAATCGATGTCACAGAGATTGAAAAACGTATCCTACTCCATGTAAGATCGAATATCAGCGAAACGACTAACTTACCCGCATATCAAAATCGATGAAAATTAACTACACTTTCCTTTGACTACAACGTCTGAAATCAGATAGCCTATTCCAGGCTCTCGGTCATTGGGGACGATCGAAAAAGCGGGCGGGCGACGAGCTCCTTTTCCCGGTCGTCGCCCGTGTGCTTTTCGATCGTCCCCACTGACCGAGAGCCTGGAACAGGCTAAAAATCAAATTTTTTTCCTTGTCACAGAGTCACATATTGTCGGCGGTAAACTGCTAAAATATGAGTTCCGAAAATCCATCCTTTGCTTGAATACCCATTTCCGATCCCCGGGGGATTGATTGTCCCTATAGATAGGTCCGGTAATTATAACCTACAAAAGAACTGAAGAACCTCTTAGCACTTTTCGTGTGAAGTAGAAAACAATAGGAACTTAGTTCGGTGTTTCAAGAATTTCCGTTCAACATGTTCAACGTACATACTACTCACTATACCTCTTTCTCGTGAAGGCAGGAAGAACTGGCTGGCAAGTTAGCCAGCCGGTTTAAAACTCCGGTCTCTCTCTAATTGTAGGTCAATTTACGAATTTACCAAACTGTAATATATTAACCTTTTCGTCCCTGGATCTAACAAGCTTGCAACAATTACATGCGTATCGTTCGGTTCCTAGATTCTAGAAACCACTCAAGTGGAGCTCATGTCGATCACACGTTGAGGAGCACCTTCGTCCTTAAACTTGCTCTTGGTAGTTCTAATGTTTTTGACTGCCTACTTAGCAGTACTTTCATGAGGTGGTGTTAATTATATTGTAAAAGGTGGTTCTGACTTTGTTTTGCCTACAAATGAAGCCCTGCAATGTATCTAACAATTCGAAGAAAACTAGCAGCATTTTGAAGTGATGCTGTATATTTTGTCGAGAGCAAGGTGCCTCTCAATTTGTTGTCAGTGTGTAACCATTCAAATGAAAGCCACTGAACAGTGCATTTGTGTGAACATGTTTCAATTTTTTCCAAGCTAGAGGTCAAGTTCATAATTTCTTAGGCTGTATGGTATACAAACGATGTATATGGTGAAAACGCCGGCAACTGGCGACTGATCGAAACGGAATCCGGTAATTTTTTTTTTAGTCAGAATGTGTCTCGATATGTTACAGCGATGATTACAATTTCACATCTTCGTGAGAAATAATAAATAGATGTGTAGTATAGAGCTGCAAAGCTCTCCAAAAGCATCTTCATTTAAGCTACAAGTCAAAGTTTTTCTCTCCGAATATTTTAACTGACTTTTCCTGCAGTGTATACACTGCACAATTTATTTAATAGGTGTCCTTTCTCTCGATGTTTGCACGGACTCACACGCCCAGCCCACATGCAAGAACTCTCGCAAGGTCGAGAAGTTCAGTTGACTAACCAAGAAAACTGTCTCTCGCAGCAAGCGCGGTAAAGCCAAAGAATCCGTGGGTAAGACGGCCATTTCTAATTACTGCACTGAGATATTAAAGTACGCTGCTTTCCTGATGAGGGGCTCGACCTAGTACCTATGGCCTAGATTAAATCTAAATCAGTATGAGATTTCAACACGCGAGAATTGTGGCTAGTTCACAGTGAAAAGATGAGTGCTTCCGAAGCGCAACTGGAACTGATACCCTATTCATGGAATTTATCAGTTTTGTGATGCTTATTTTTTCAAAAAGCTTTTAAGCATTGCAGGAAGTATAAAAATCAGTTCGATCGATGTCCTTTGATAAACCTAAACATGCTATATTCACGTTTTCTCCCTGAAGGAAGCTTTTGCAAATCTTAAATAACCCACTAACGCATTCGATTAACGCGCGACAAAACTTTTAAAAAAGCCCTTCGAAAATCAAAGTTTGTTTTGACTTGAAAAGTCATGAAATGTTACTAAATGAAACATATTTTTTGAAGTTTGCAGATCAAAGAAAACCGCCTAAGATAACACACCTGGATAGCTGTCAGCGCAAAGCCGGATATTTCTAAACTACGACGTCAAAGGAAATTGAAAGATATTTTTAGTCAGCAAACTAAGGATTTTTTGGTCAAAGTCAGCCGATTTCTTGAGTACATATCCGGATGTTTACAGAGGCTGATTGTCAAAAGCTATCAAAAAAATAAGGTCATCTTCGTATTTCTTAGTGGCCGGAAAGTGCAGGGTTAAGATTCTGGTTTCAGCTCGAAATTCTGAGTTTAATGATAGCTCTGGGAATTTATTTACATGCACAAGAAGGCAACATCTTTGTTTTTTATCGATCCTCGTCACTCTCATCCGTTATTGCAGTATCTACTTGACCGGGACTTGGAAAAGACATCGATATTGCGAGGACAAATTACCTGTCCGCTCTTTCGTATGAATTAAAAGATTGAGAGAAACGAACTTGCCTCATTATATCGTGTTAATAAGATTAGTGCATTTAAAAGGCCTGAAAATTAAGTAGAAATTTGCAGTCGCATGAGAAATTCGACAAACTAATCAATCTTTATTCAATGAAAGATTTTGTGCGAAATCGCTCATGAGGTTGTGAATCAGTCACCGATGAGGGCTAAAACAAGCCTGGATTACAAACTTATTGTGTTTTGTTGATTCTGCAAGTCCTAGCAACCTTTATTCAAAGCACACTATTGTCGTGTACGTACAAGAAAACAAACGAAGTAGAACGTGTAATTTCACTTAGGACTCATGGGAGAGATATTGTTCTACAATGATTTTTAGTTCTAACAATGCAAATCAAACGTTGTGGTAAACATCCTTGCTTGAAAGCCTTATAATTCGAAAACCACATATGACACAGTTAAGCTGGTTGACAGAAACAGAGCCAATTAAAGTTCAAAAATGCTGTGAATAATTTAATTTCTTCTGCAACCGCTTTGATTTCAACGCATACAATGAAAATCGTATTTTAAAAGTATCCAAAGTGCTTTTTGTCACCGGCCTATTGTGGCACTTACAATATAGCAGTTGCATATCTGCTATTGTCCCTTTCTTAAATGAAAAAAAAAAAAATTGCAACACCGGCCAGAAAAAATGCAATTGTCCGTGAGGTTGGTAAACTCACTTTCGCCTTTAATCACACAGTATTTGTTCGCGCGCCAGTTTCCATGGCAACTTGTTTACCTTCCTGCCATTCAGCAATATAATAGTTATTTTGGCTAATAAAGGGGAGGTCTTTTGTGTGTGTGACCTCGTGTGTTGTCATTCAAATTACCCGTCCTGTCTAGTTCAGTTTTCTGCCATTGGTTCGGAAGACATCACAAATCTGCAGAACTGAAAATCCCAACTCGCGACACGACACGATGGCATGCAGTTATGTCACAGCAGTGTGCGCGAGATACAATGTAGCCTCACATTAACGGCAAAGTGTGCGAGACACTTATCACCAATGAAGAGAACAGCTCACAAGAAGAAAGACTTCGATCATTTCTGAATCAGGTGCGAATTGCGTCTTGTGTGGCCATTGCGTCAACACAACAGTGCCAAGTCGATTTGCATTACGTTGATTCGTAAATGTAACCTAAGCTTATGTAATTTGTGTGAACCTTAAAAAGAGGAATTCGCTGCAATTACTCGTTTGTTCTGGCTTATTAATGTTTACAGTTGTTCAATTTGTCTTGAGAGCGCATTTAGGCCGGGGTTTTGTTTGTAGTTATCTGTTCCGAAATCTTTGCTCGAATTTGAGCCAAAATTTTGACCTTGCTCGCTGCAAGCTAAATAAATGCAGAGCACGCCGTACTTTTTCCTTTTTGTCCAATCGAGTTGATGTGTATAGGTCCTATCCTCAGTATATTTTACGTTAAACTGCAGTCTTGATCTTTTGCCTCAAAATCTCTTTCGTTTTTATACTTACAGATGCCACCGGGTGCTCCGCAACGCATTGTGGGATAGTCTCCCCCGGCTATGCACAGAACAACAGATCAAAACGCTAATGGGGTGATCCATGGAGCTGTGAGAAGGGTTTCTTCGTCCAGAAAGTTTCATGAGAGTAGGAAAATCGAACCAACAGATATCGCTCGAATGGCCAACAGGAATGTGAACGGGAACGTCAAACATCATGAGATGCTGAATGGAAAAGTGAGGAATGTGTCCAAGACTTCTTTAGATCCGAACACTTTCTTCGAAGCGGCTACGTTGCTTGGTAGTGTAGGTTCGCTAAAAGCTGCTGAGACAACGGAACGAGTTCGGCGCGGGAGTACTTCTTATGAGGAAGACATCTATAAAGGATTTCCTTTCCCATTTGAAAATTTGGTGTTCGAAGGCGGTGGGAACAAGGGAATGGCTTATGTTGGTGCACTTCAGGTATGTTTTCTCCATTTATGCCTTTATTTTGTGTTGTTGTGTTCTTTTGTTTTGATAAATGAAGGTCACAGATTCCTTCGCTACCGCGCGGTCACAAAGAATTTTCCATGGAACTTCCACTTGAATCATATTAGTCAGTTTAAGTTTCCGGCATGTTTTTATTCCGATATTAATCTTAGTTTGCGTTAGACAGCCGCATCTTTCTCTAAATCAAAATTTACTTGTTGACCGTGAATTCCTTCGCGTATAGTAAGTTAACTCTTACATGTAAGCTTAGCTCTTAAGCTCAGAAACGCTATTAGGTGACAAGATTTAGTTTACTCAATCTGCGAAAAATATGAAGAACACAAAATCTTATGTCCTGTTTAGGGACTGTGAAAAGTTTTGAAATTTCTTCACTCCATTTAAGAGAAAATACTGATATAGGTCGATTGTGTGCTTCAAGTTTTGAGTGAATCACTTCATTAATTAACATACAGCAGTAAGTTAACTACGATATTGGGTGAATACATATTAACTTATGTAATCATAATTTGCTTCTGTCAAGATGTCTACCACAAGGAAAGGAAATAATTGCTTCTACTGTACTCCTCGATAACAGGATAGTTTTCTGTGGAAAATGTTCCCCGAGACGAAGGTCTTCTTTGCCGCTCAGCATGTGTGTCAATATTTGAGGGAATTGTACATCATGTTGGTTGAACGAAAAATTTCGCAAAGCGATATCTGACGATCCATGTATTTGTTTTTATTTTTGTTTGATTCGTTAACACAGAAATACATCAGACTGAGCGATAGTTCATCGATCTGAGGTATTATTTTTGAGGTCAGGAAGATTTTTCAAAACACGAATATGTATTATTCGTGAGACTTGACAAACGTGTTCTAATGGCCTTGTAGTTCTTATGGGTTGGAGCGTGTAATTCACTGTCAAGGTTTGACTTATTTGATGAAATTTGTAAGACCGTACATTGTGTGTGATGATCAGTCTTCTTTGTATATGACTAAACACTGTACGTTAGTGGAATATGATTAATTCGGTAAAGTCAGGACAGGAACTAAAAGATTGTAAAGAGAAGTTTTGAACTAACATTTTGTAGTGGAACTAAATTAAATGCAGAAAATACCAACGCTTAAAATATTTAATCAGCTTGTATCAAATTTACTTGAACAGCAAAAGTTTGAAGGTCTTTTAGCATATAATTATATCCCCCTCTTTTTTTGCAACTTTTTGCTTAGAAACTTTGATGGTCAAGTAAATATGTAACAATAAATAACCCATGTACCAAGAGCTGCAAATGAAGCTATAATTTAAGGATATACCCCAACTATAGAAGGAGTAGGTTATTTTTTAAATATTTTCTTTTGTCAGGTTAGCGAGAGAATTAACCAAAAAAACGCAACATGACGTTTTGACAACTTAATGTCATCGTTGTCAAATAAATAAACTAAAAATAATGGCAAGGCATACTTATGGAAATTGGGATGTGAGGAAACAAATAATTAGCAAGGGTGACATGAAGGCAGTCAGGTGGAGAGTTTTGTTTTGAATGCTTTTCAATTCAAACCTTAAACTTCCGCTATGGCTATATTACAATATATGATATTACAACAAGTGACCTCTCATGTACATGAAAGTCGTATAATTTTCCTTTATTGATCTGACAGGTGTTAGAGACTGCTGGTGTCATGAAGAGTATCAAAAGAGTGGCTGGCGCTAGTGCAGGAGCGATCATTGCAACACTTATAGCTCTTGGTTATGACTCTCGTGAGCTGAGAGAATTTCTTGAGCAGGATCTACGAAGAATTTTAGTAGGTGAGCTGACTGAGTGCATAATAATAATTTTGCTGTGTAATGTCTAATCTTGCTGATGTGTGAAAACAGATATATGTGGTGGGTCAAAATGAAATTCCTTTGTCTCTTAACCCTAATTATTTATGGATCATGAATAATAATATTAGGGTAAGAAGACATAGGAAATTGAGAATCAAACTAGGTTAAAATCATTTTAACCTTAATTTCTTTTTGACCTACAACATTCATGTGAACAATAGTTTGTATAGTGTGATTGCCTGGGTGAGGTTAGTTCTGAAAAGAACTGTTGTTGGTGACCCTCAGCCGGACAATCACACGATATGAATTACTGATAGTCCTGGGTTCAAACCATTTACTATGATACGTGAACAATGTAGCAAAGATACAAAAACAATGTATCAGCTACTGTGATGTCACCTATTTTATTAGTATGCCAACTGCCAGAGAACTATTGACTGGTCAAACTAAAAGTTCTTTTGATTAACTTTTTGTACAGTTAAATAGCAAAAGCAATGTTTGTAAACAGATATCTTCCCTATACACATTTTTTTTATCACTTCTCCTAATCTTAGGGGCTTACCAAAATCCTGAGAAGTTTTTTCGAAAAGCGAATACCACAGCAAATTTGGGAAATTTCAATTGGAAATTGTAGACTTCATTTGGAGGTAGTTATTTTATCCCACTTGATACATATATGAACCACTGGAAAACTCAGTGTACCATTTGTTTGTTGTTCCTATTTCCATCAAGGGCAACGAAAACCAGAAATCTAATAATATTTGTAAACCATAAGTGCTGTATCTCTTTTCAATGGTTTAGCAGCTGTCTGTGTTGATTCATAGTCCTCCCAAACATTTCTTTTTGGTAACTGGTTAAGCCCCTGTGGACATAAATTACTTTTCTCACCTCCTTCTCTCAAGACTAACATACAGGACATGCACTCCTGTACCATATTTCTGTCTTAAGACATAGCGTACTCATTGGCCCTGTAGTTTCTTAGGGTTAATTAATTTTCCTTTGGAATGAGCCTTGTTAGGATCTACGATCCAAGATCACTCAGATCATGATAGGTAAAAGGAACTGATGAACCCTTGCTCAGAGTGATTTCATGGGTTCCTTTGATGCACCATAATCCTGATGATCTGATATCACTGATCCAGATCCAGATCCAGATCATCCCAATGGAATGCACCCTTACAAATACAACTAAATTTGTTTTATGGTGTATAGAACAGGAAAATAGTGAGCACCATGTTGTCATCCATGTAAATGTTTGACTGCATTAATTAGATCCCAGATCAGGAGTCACAAACTCCAGTGGAAGCCCTACCTTATAGCCCTGTGGCTCTAGTCTTATGACTGATTTGTGGGATGGCACTGTCCTTTCACATGAATGTAATAACCAAATCTTTTTTTGTTGTTCACAGATCACAATTGTGGATACTGTAGCCTTCTTCCTAACTTGCTCAAGGGATTTGGATGGAATCCTGGAAAGAGGATGTTGAGATGGTTTGGTGAGCAGCTTAAAGAGAGGACTGGTGATAGTGATATTACATTCAAAGAGGTGAGTCAACAAATAAATTCTCCTTACTGGTGTCCATCATTCTTGATGTACTAGCTGGGAGAATTTGATGATGTATTATCCCTTTTTAATAGCTCTGATATGTCAACATCTCTCGGAACGGGGGGAGGGGGGGGGGTTAACTCTATAAAGTTCTATACCTGGAGGCTCCACCCCGAGGTCCAACCCCTTACTCTGTTGTATACTATTTTTGACAGAAAAGGTGTCCCTTTTGTATGCCTTTAATTGAAAAAGGTATCCCTTTCCCATACTTTCACAACTGGCCTGTTTTAGAAAT